GCTCCGAGCTGGCCTGTGTGCTCGCACCTCCGCGCCTTAATCTTCCACCCCCCTACCCCCCTTTTTATGTTCTGCTTTTCTAGTTCGTTACTGTTTTGGGTTTTGTCTGTGTTGTCTTAAGAAAATTACTTTTAAATGCAGGTAACATCCTGTTATTGGAAGCATATCTTCTCGGGGCATTTTAACGAAAAATGCCAGCAGGGGCACAGTTACTCTAACGAGTAGCTGTGAGGTGTCAGAGCGAGAAACACATTCACTGCGCATGTTACAATTGCAATAAGGAAGTCAAGTGTACTGTTAGTAAACATCAGCACAGAATCGTATGAGATTTGTCAGGTAGTGTATTGGAAGGAGTCCAAGATGCTTGTTTAGAAAAGATATCACTGAATGGGCTACAGAGCTTACTGCTTGTTAAAGCTTGAGTGCTATAAATGTATGCTAAGCTATGTCAGTGTACGTCAGCTGAGGATTGAGCTCAAGGTCCAAAGGTCCACTTTTGCTTTGGAAAATAACAAAAAGCCTGCTTTCTTGAGGTAGCTCTGTGCCTCATTGATGATGCCTTCCAAGGCATTGTAAACCAAGAGATAGATACTTGCTGTAATTCTCCAAACTATGTGTCTGTGCTTTTCCCTGGGAGGCAGAAAAAGTGAGGCTTGAGCTGCTACCGCGTTCTTCCCAGCTGATGTCGAACTTACTGTGCTTCATAAGCTCTAGCCTGGCCTGTTTTGCTCTATTACTTTTAATTTATATGGTGGCTGTAATTTCCTATAGATCAAATTCTTTTAAAACCAAACCTTAAAAAAAGGCACACTTCACATGCCTCTGATTCTACTGATGTATTGGCCCAGCACTACGTAAAATAAATTTCAGGCAGATCTGCTGTTCTCACCTGTCTGGGTTTTTCTTTTCTCCTATTTGGCCAGTAACTCACTCCGCTGTTTTTTCTGTGGGATAAACTTGGTGCAGGACACTGGACTCGGTTAGGACTCAACATCCCTCCTGTGCCAGGAAAGTGTTGCTTCCCTTGACCACATTCTTATTTGTATGACCTGTGGAAATTTTTTCATCTGTGCTATTAGGTATTTTAGTAAATCTCCTCATTTACATTAAAAACAAATAGAACTGAAAGTAAGGAAAAAAGAGAGAGTGCAAACTTTAGTAATCAATGGGAAACATTCTGAAAGAAGGAAAACCGTGTGTAAGATAAAACATGATTTCCAGATTAGTTAGTGCAGTTTTAGTAAGTCTAAACCTGCCTGTGTTAAAAGGAGAATGTCTGCCTGAACCTGCATTAAATGATTAAGGTAGCTCGAGTTCTGCTTGTATTAGCTAGGGCATTTAATTTTTTGTGTAACTGTCTGGTTCTGTTTCAAGTTCCAGTGAGCAAACATACAGATAAAAGGTCTAATCCAAATGCGCATGTTGCAAACTGATCAATGACATGTGGAAGAACTTGCAGTAATGCCTGGCACGACGCGACTGCAGAGCTGATAGTAAACATCGCTACAGTCAGGGTCATCCCTGGAAGTCTGAAAAACTTTTCTGGCTAACTCATTTTAGACAATTTTAAAACACTGTTTGAGATCTCTTATCCCAAAGTACCAGCTTAGGTTAGCAGAATTAGATTCCTTTTTCTCTTGTATTTGGAAGAAGCTGTAGCCAAACAGTTGTTTCACTGGGAGTTGTAACTTATGTTAATTTTTTTCTCTACCTGATTGTGGCTGTCTCTTGCACACGCGAGTTATGTTACTGTAAATTCCTGAAATGCCACTGTTTCAGTACTTATTGACAAGGAGCAATTTGCATAATGGTCTTTTCTTTAGAAGTTTTTATAGAATGTGAGTCTTGTTTTACCCATACTCAGTTCTGATATATTAAATTATGATGAACTAAATGTTCAAAGGGATTTGAAAGTATAAGTCTAGGCAGTCAGTTGAGACATCGGTGTAAAACTTCACACACGCTCAATCACCTGCTCTCTGTCTCTGCAAGCATCTGCATTCTTTAGCTGATAGCACTGTTTCTCATGTCCATGTCCCATGAACCCCAGATTTAACTACTGAATAACCTAGTTCCTAAGTTGAGCAATGACACTGGCTGTTCTTTCATCTGCTCCCTGTTCTGGCAGGCAAATTACATGCAAAAGTACTTCAGACTTCCAAGGTCGCATCTCTTTGCTATCGTGTTATCTTTTCCTGCTAAATATTTGATTTACAGCGGTACAGCACTTCTAAGCCTGTGGGAATATCCACGTAACGCTGAATTTACTGTCAAAATAACAAAAGCAGCAACACAGCATGTGTATTTCAACAAAACTTTTTTTTTTCCTGGGACTAGACAATTCAGTTTCTACTTAACTCCTTGCTTTGTTTCAGAGGAAAAATATTAATTTGTAACTGTTCTTGGCATTATCAATAGTTTCTCTGAGTAGGCTTTAATTTCAAGATTCAAGTTGTTTCTTTACATCTACCTTTCTGTGGTTTGCTGTGGGTTTGCCAATGTTGCTGTGAAGGAAGAAACTTAAAACTTGTATGTTAAAGAAACATAGAAACTTAGTTTGAGAGTCTTTGCTACCTAGATTTAACTTTGCATTCTATTAGTGAAACAGTGATTTTTAAATTTTTTTTTTGTAAGCTTATTTGAATGCAGGGTTGACCACACCATCTTAGAAAAGTGATGAACAAAGATGATCACCCAAGAAGAAAACAACTTAATTCCAGTTGTGAAACTAATTGGACTCTTAATTTCCTTTCTAACTTTGCCTTCTTTCTCTCAATTTTTTAAGGTAGTCCTCAGACAGTTCATCAAGTTCACCTGAATCCAGGAAATTCTGACAGTAATACTTATCAGAGTATTCAGCAGATGAGAAATGCAATGGAGAAAGAGATTAAGAGTGAGAGAACAAGAGGAAATGGTAGAGAGTTAGCATTCACCCTCATGCCGTTGTATGCTCTTGGAGTGGGAGTGTTTGCAGCATACAAATTTCTTAAGGTAAGCCATAAGAAAAGCATTAAATTATTGAAATTAGAAGGAAGTGTAACTGGTGCGCCCCCTGCAATTCTGAGCCCATGTGTATGGTTGTCCAAAAGCCATTTCTTGCTTGGTTTGATTTTGAATGTGAGCTCCAAAGTTAAAATTAGAGCATATCTGATTCTTCCTTATGAAGGCTTCTGACTTATCTTTTTTTAGACACTTAAAGAAGTGAGAATCTTACCCCCCACCCCCTCCGACCTCAGATAAGAATCTGAGAACCTAAACAGTGCTGTTACCCGAGGCTGTAACTTAAGCCTCATTGGTATGTCACTTCCTTTTCATTTTTCAGAATGAGATTGAGTATGGGAAGGAGATGGAGACTCCTGCAGAGTAATAGTCTTAGATTAGCAATTAGGTAGAATAGCGAGTAGTCTTAGACCTTTTATTTGGACGTCTCATTTGGTCGTGCAGCCGCAACATAGACTTTTATCTGTGAAATGTGATACCTTTCTACCATTAGTAAATTAAGAAAGGAGAACATATGATCAGTTCTTTTTTTTTTTTTTTTTAAATATCAGTCTTGAGGTGTTATTTATAGTAAGAGATATTACAGCACTTGCAATGCTGAGAGTGCATCTGGAACATTGTTGCTTACCTTCAGGGGAAAAAAACTTAAGCCTGAACAGGACTGGAGACAACATCTTCATTTCCATAGTCAGTTTCATATCATCTCCTGTGAGAGAAGAATACAGCAGCTTAGCAAGATGAACATAGAGGCTGACCCGTTTGGTTTTAAAAATAAATTTAATTAGGTTGTAAATAAGATTTAAACATCATAAAAACAATATTTTGGGTGTTACAACTTTTTACACTTGTGCTTGTGGGATTGAAATATAAATACTTTTATAATAGTATCTTTATTGCTTTAAGAAAGAAGTTTTACCTCCTAGTTCATGGAAGGAGACTGGATCCAGTAACCTAGAAGGTTCCTTCAGTTCATTTTTGAAAACTGGAGTTGAAATAGCAACTGCATTCTTTCACAACTTTTGTCAGTCATGTTGTCATTGCTTAAAATCAGTTGTGTTAGTTTAAGATAGGAAGAAGGCATGGCAGAAAAAAGTTTCATTAATAGAGCACATTTTTGTGGTTGCTATTTACTTTCAGTAAATTTGTAAATGCATTTTTATTTTTAATATACAAATAGTGATGAAGTCTTTTAACATGATTGTATTTATTAAAGATGAAATCGCATGAAGAAAGTCTCTCCAAAAAGGAAAAAAGTACAGAAGACAAAGCAAAGGAAACGGGTAAGATACCCATTCAGAATGCATATGTTCACTAGAAATGCGTATTTGCTGCTGCAACAAAGCTACATATTTTAATTGATGCAGTCTATCTAAACAAGAACAATCTTTTAAGTTACTTAAGTGCAGTTAGGAACCTACAAAAACCAGTTTGTTATTCTATGTATTTGAAATGCTTGTTAGAGGTTTGTTTGAAAACTCCAGATGGTAATATTCTTTAAAACAGTTAGAGTAATATAGTATGATTCTCTGCCTTTTAATGTCTGATGTTTTTCTCACTTAAGACCTGTTCAGTTTTCTTCAGTAGACTAGGATGTTTAAGTAGGATATAATAATCTTTAGAATTAATAGGGTATTTTTAAAAGATGTAATGATCTGCTTTAGAATTGAACTGTATTGATAGTGGAACAGTATGGATAACCACTTACAGAGACTGTTGAATTTCTGGGCCAAATTAGAGACCTGTCAAAAACATGAAGTGTTTATAGAAGAGACAGAATAAATGATACCATCTTTTTCTCCATGATACAGAGTACTCTTGACTGTCTGATTCAGTCTATTCTGCATGTGCCAAGAAGTGGGCTTTCCTTTGGAGAAAAAGTTATGTCACATCAAAGTTGAGCTGTTTTCATACTTTTTTTTTGTCCCTTGTGTAGGCACATTTTTAGTTAATGAAACAACTAGCAGCCTCTTTTGGTGTCCCTGTACACCAGATCTGTAATCATGTTCAGCGATGATTTGCTACACTGCCTACTCACCATCCTTGTGTGTTGCATTCTTCTTTCTTCAAAGTTTAATAGTGTTTTAGGTGGAGTTACTCCTCGCAACTCCAGTGCATCAAGTGTTGAATGTATTTGCAAGGTATGAATAGGCAAATTCATGACAGCATATTAAGTATAAATACACTACTTACGCCTCAGGAAGTCTTGGAACTGCATAATTTTTGGGGCTGGGAAGGTGAGACCCCCATTCTCGCTCAGTTTCTACCAAGATTAGGGACATTGTCGCTTAGGGCCATGGTTTAGTGGGCATGGTGGTGTTGGGTTGACGGTTGGACTCGATGATCTTAGAGGTCTTTTCCAACCTTAATGATTCTACGATTCTATTCTGTGATTCTAAGATGTCCTCTGTTGGACACTATTGCAGACAGGTTATTGGATGAGAAGGACTTCTGGTCACACATGGTAAGACTTCTGTTCTTACCCCCATCACTGCCTCTTCATATTCTAGAATTTTATAGAGAAAACAACCTTCCTGTTTTTGAATCTGCCCAACCAAAAATATAAATTAATATCCTTTTGGTATTGTAAATACATTTCTTACAATGTTCTCTCTCCTGCCCCCCCGCTTCCTCCCTTTGCCTCCCTCCTTTCTTTTTTTTGCTTTTGTTTTTTGTTAGAGCATCAGCTTTTAGAACTGGAGCAGCATCTAGCACAGACAGAGAAAATGTTAAATTCTTTATTGACTCAGCTGGATCCACTGTCAAACTGGTGAGTGTTTCTAAAACATCTCAGTTAGTATTGTTTTCTGTAAATTGAAATTCTCCAAAATGTTAACAAAGAGTTCTTAAAATGTTCCTTATGTATAAGTAGGGAACAGTGTTTCGGAACCTTCTTTAATTACTTACTGTTTCTGTAGCCTTTTGCAGGTAATACCTTTTCTGCCATTTGCAGTCTCTTCACAGACACCTCACATGTCTTGTTCACCAAACATAAATGTAAAAGCTCAGACTTACGATGAAGTTACTGTAGCTTAACAACTTAAACCAAGGAGAGTAATACTGAAAAAATGTTTAAGCTCAGTAGCATTTGAAAGCCCTTCTGGGAATTACGTTTCTGGTAGCAGAATGAGTTTCTTTCTTTTGATATCTTTAGAAGACAAAAATAGATATTAAGGTATAGCTGTGTATTTTTGTGTTTTGAAAGGAACCTGTTAAGTGACTGTGTGTGTTTCGGGGAAACATAACTTCTTTGTTGTAGTGTAAAACAAAGGAATAAGTAATACAACCTCCTTGTAGTTTTAGAGATGTTCTTTGTTTAAGAAGCTAGGGCCTTACCCATCTATTGGAAATAAAAGTATCCGTACAGTCTATTTTGTGTAGACTGACATCATTCATGAAGCCTAGTTTAAAACATGCAGAATTTCATGATTGTTCCTTTAGTGTACTTCTGAACTTAATATGTGCTGGAACTATTAAGCAGCAAGTTCACTGACCAATTTGCCTAAAAAATTTCTAGCAGTGATGGGGAGGAGAGAGAGTAAACAAAATCTGAAATAAACGAGAAAAGCCTGTAAACTGTAAAGTTCTGTATTAGGCATTGTTGTCCTCAAAATGAAATCGCTTTGGAGAATTGTTTCTTTCAGTAGTCATTACTCAGCCTTGGCCTTTGGGGCTCCAATGTTAGAATTCAGTGTCTAGATTATTCAGTAGGTGTAAGTGATGGGCTCCCCACTTCTCCAGGGGCAGTTCTCAAAGAAAAGCTTGACCTAAATGTGTTGCTAACTTAAGTATGGTATTTTTCCACTGCAGGAAATATTGCAGTCTTGTGCATTATTATTATCAAGCACTCACTTCCAAGGTAATCTTTTCAGCTGTTGACGTCTGTCTTTTTTTTATAGTGTTAATGCTTTAGCTTGTGAGCAGAAAGATGAAATAATGACACAGCTCCAATCAATTAGACGACTGATGAAAGAAAGTGGATTGGATAAATCAGAAAACAAGATGAAAGGTACTTCAATTTCCAGTAAAATAGATAACTAAGTAGTTTATACTTTAAAACAATAAACAGATCTTACTATAATAATGTTCAGCTCCTGCATCTTAGGTAATGTGTGTGGAATTAATTTTATTCTGGAGGAGTACCATTCTTCCTGTTTGAGGTGTATCTAACTTCAGATTTTTGATACATCATTTGGTTTTTAAGAGTAGGTGTTAAAAGCGATTGAACTAGGATAGACCACACAATCACGTTCCGCTTTGTTAAAACGGGCTTCTTGAATGTGAGTTCCTGAGCAGTCTGTTAGTATTGGACTAACTTTAGTCTGAGGATTCACAGATAGGGGCCTCTGAGGCTGTGGGTAATGCTTGCATAATATACTAAACAGCAAATTGTATGTTAGTTTCAACTGGAGACTTCCAAGAGGTGCATAGTAGTCCAAGAGAAATCTTAAATGTTAAGAATGGTTCACTACAAATTTGGGGAACTTTTGCATTAGTTGAGTCTTAATAAAAGAGAGAAAACAAATAAAAAATAAATTTTCTTCTAAGCTGACCCTGAAATTTGGAGCCTTTCTAGTAATTTAAACTTTCATTTTGATTTTTTTTTTTTAATTATAAGATGTCAGCCACATTTGTAATGAGAAACTTGAAGATCTCATTCAGTCATTTGCTGAACATTCTCAAGAGAAAGAAACAGATGACAGAGAAGATGATGGTAATGAAGATTTGCTTGAGGATGTTGATAGTGATTACAAGATGGAAGAGCATGAATTATATGATGAATGTGAAGTACACCAGTTTGAGCCAGATGTGGTAGAAGACCAAGAAATGATAAACAAGGATGTGATTGAATCAGAAGAGATGGGATTGAGGAGACGTAATAGATATGAAGGAAATCTGCATATGTAAAACTTTCAAAAGCTTATGAATTTTTTTTTTTACAACGTTGTATGCACTTTAAACTGTTTTGAATGAAGTTACGTGCACTGCTACATGCTTTAAAAGAGGGGTGAAATACTGCCTGTGCTCATATCTATGACGGCTCTGTAACTGACTTCAGTGGCAGCAGAATTTCACTCAGGATGTTTACATTTTTTTTTAATTTATTTTTTCCTATAAAAATATTTCTGTACTCTGTATATAATGCACTGTAATTATATCTGATGCTTCACTAAAATATTGGAATATCTTGTAATTAAGACTATAAAGAATAGATGTTTCATAAATGTTTTCTAACTAGTAAGCACAGTGCCGCTTGAACTGTGACTTTCTTGAGTTCATTAAAGAGCATGCACTGATGAGTTTAGCTCTTTGTGGAAAACTTTTCTCTAGGGGCGGGGAATGAAAAGCAGTACGGGTTAAGTCTTAGACATGCATTCACTCTTTATTTGGAGAGGGAAATTTAGCCACAGACACTATTTTAAAATAATTATGTCTCAGTTTGCTGTCTCCTCAGGAATGATGTATAGTTTTGTATGTCAATTTAAACCTTAATGCAATACACTAGATCACTTAATTTCCTCCCCACCTGTCACTGGTTAAACTCAGCAGCTGCCTAATAATTGATGGATACCCATTAGTACTAGTATCCCTGCTTCATATATATTTTGACATGATAGAATCTGGCCTGCAACTTTTTCTTATATCAGTATTAACAGATGGATTGCTACATACCGTTCAAAAACTGTGGGGCTTGGGGGTGTCTTTTTTCAATACATTATGCTGACTCAGTAGTGGCTTTTTTAGGTCAGTGTTTAGAAAACCATTTTTTTTTCCTTTGCCAGAATCATTTTTATCCAGACCTTTATTTTCTGCTAACTTTTTGTTTGCTTAATGCACATGCCTATGAAACGGCTGCCCTTTAATGACAGGAATTACATAAGAGGTACGTCTGACAGTACAATGCTGTTAAATTTTCTGTTTTATAATGGCATAGCTTTTAAGTAGGCCAGTTACAACGCCTGAACTTTTTTGCCATCTTTTTTTCTTACAGGAAAATAACACTTGGATTTGTTTTTATGGAGGAAATGTACTGCAGTTAAAGGGATTAAAACTACTACCGTGTCACTCACTGAAACGGAATGAATTGTTCATTCTTGTGTAGAAACATGGTGCGTCTCTGGTTCTAAAAATGGATCACACAGGCTTGGAAGTAGCAGCATCCAGAAATACATCCCTAGCGTCAGTGTATTATTAGTTTTGCAATAAGTGAGATTTTGCCTGACTTTGGAAAACTGATTGACCAAAAAGCCAGGGTTTTGCAAGAGGTGACACATTTTTTCCCCAGGACAGAACAGATGAATCAGAACTGGTACTTGGACGCAATTTGATTTTTAAAAATAACTGGTGTAGGTCTGGTCATTCAGGACAACTGGAACTGTTTAAAAAAATCGTAATTGCATAGAGGCTATCCTCTGAGATGACCAATAAGGCTAATTAAAGTGAACTGAAACTAGTTTCAAAGCCTTTGATCAGAGAGAATGAAGGAATGGGTACCAACCATGCTGCGCTGCCGTGGTGTTTGCTCTTTGTGGCTCCGTCGCTCGCTCTGCTGTGGGCGCTGGCATGGATGCGGGTCAGTATTGCTGCCCTCCAGGCGCTGCCACTGTTGCTGGTGACTACCTTGCCCGCAGGATTTCACTGCCCTGGGCAGTGGTTGGACCATCAGCCCTGTCGCTTTCACGTTCACTAGTCTTTGGATGCTGCTGCTACTTGAAGCCTTTGTCCATAAGGCTTTGAGCTACTTTGGGGTAATTGCTGTATTTCTGACCCAGGGCTACAAACATTTACCGTGAGCCCTTTTGCTGCTATTTTGAAGTCTCTGATTTCAGCTGCGTGGGTCAGTTGAGGACACAAACCTGCGCAATGCCTGAGTGCCCAGGACAGGCAATCGCTGCGCCCAGCT